TGCGCGTGCGCCGCGGAGCCGTTGCCGGCACTGGAGTGGCCTGCCCTCATCAGTCTCCCCGCGGCGGGGCAACAGTTCGTGTGTGTGACACCGCATCGACTGCGCTCGCAGCCTGCGGGCTCCGAGTGCTTTGCGTCGCACACGAATATTTTTAGATAACAGCGCTAATAATTTATTCGCAAGTTAGTGTTCGCGCGCACTTTTACGGATACCGGTCGAGACGCATGCGGGCTCGTTTACACAGCATAATGCGGTGGCACGGCATCGGTGATCGGGCGCAGGCCGCCGCTTGCGGAGACGTCCCGATAGGTAAGCTGCGCACTTCCTGCGCGCGCGCCGCCATGTTCGATTTCAGTCGGAACGTCACTTCCGCCAAGACCGGAACCGGCACGAGCCGTGTGGGTTAAAGCTGAGGACCCCGAGGCGACAGTGGTGCGTGCACGCACACCGTCGGCACTCAACTCGGTCAGGTCAATGAGCGACGGCTCTCGATTCATAAAATGTCGGTCGTTCCATTCACGCCGCGGCGCGGTGCTGCGGTGACCGTTCGTTCACTCGTGACCCTCACTTCTTCGAATATTCATGTCTCCTCGATAACATCGTAACCTATGACTTCTTTTCGTATTATCAAGTTGTTTAGTGAGCGTCCGCCGCGACCTAAAACCGGACTTCGTGCTGTGTGCTGGAAACATAAGTGACCATTCAACCGTTGCTAAACGTCCAACTGTGAAAATGTTGTGGAAAGTGATAAAACAGTGATTACAATCTCAATCAATGGAATGTTACTTCTAGTAGCGTAAGATTAGATTATAATTTTTGCTACCTATTTTATTTTGCACTTTGCAATTTTTCCTAACAATAATCTCAATATAGAACATAAGCATTCAGCACTATCATTAACTATCTACATTTAAAATATGGTAAAATCAAAAGCATTGTAACAGAATTTACAAGTTGAGGGTAGTTCTAAAAGATGTAGAAATTCATCTAATAAATAGATAAGTAAAGATAATAAACACCTGTTCGAGATTTCCTATGAAAATAGTTTTTGCAGTAGTCTGAATAAGCAACATATAATGTGGATAACATTGTAAAACAATAAGGTGTACCGCTGGCAGCGACAGAACGTCGCGGTCGCGTCGTCGCCGACAGGACGTAAGTACGTCACCAGAGCGTGACGTCTGGGGGCTTATTCCACTACATGTGTTCCTTTTCTACATCGGATGTCACACCTATTTCACTTTGAAATCGCTTTAGTAATTGGAAATATTCTTTAACAAACCACGAATACAGTCGCGGTCGAAAGGTATCTGATACTATGACTTATCTTCTACTGATAATATGACAACTGTGATACACTAAATCTCTTTCTTAAATTTTCTTTTTTTTTTTAAATACCTGCTAAACAATGCTTCTTAGTCAATTTTATATAATAAATGATAACTTTTGACATATTTCCGTTTTGATACTCTTTTGAGTAAACTATAGTCGACTAGAAGTTACTTTCTCCGCGAAATTTTCGCGCAATTTTTTCGCGCGTCACATCACATCGCTATCTCGTTGTTACATCTGTCAATTGTCTATTTATATTTCTTGACTATTGTTTAGCCATAGAATTCGTTGAAATTCATCGTGCATTATTTTTACTTTTTTATGGTACTGTAATAAATAATTGTATTTTAGGTTTTTTCAATGAATAGCAAAGATTTACTATTTACGCAAAATAGAAAATTCCTGTTCAATTAAAATATCGGAATATCTAAAATTAACGATTATAATGGTAAATAACAAACGAAACCCTTAAGTCTTTCTCGTTTTATGTCCTAAAAATTCTTTCAAAATAGATTACTAAACAACTGCGTAGTATGAATTATCCTTCACAGCTGTTACCGTGTTTGTATTGCCACATTTTAACTTCCTACTCGATCACTAATGTAGTCAACATACATACTTTTTCACTTTAATATATTTAATGTTCATTTTAAAATATCTAGACAAATGTCATTTTCACATAATTTTTTAAACCATACACCATATGCTTTCTAATAATTACAGGTACACACATTTTGCAATTTGTTCCTAATTTCCACTGGCCACCCACTGTCCTGTGTTAGTAATTTCTTAGTGGCCCAACCACTTAAAACTTGATCGGCCACCATCGTCATATGAGAAGGCAGAAAAGCCCATAAATAACATTGTCTATCCTACATTAGAGTGAACTCGCGATGACAGATGAGTCAGGTGGGAGAGACGTCACGACACGTGTGCCTGCCGCTACTGACTCACAGCATCTCACTCACTCGGCTCTGTGACGTAGCTGTCGGTCGACGCAAGCGCGGCCGCCCCCGCGCGCCCTTCCACGCTTCAACCAACCTTTGCCCCATAACAAATTGCAATTTCATAAAACAACCGTCACTTTAATCGACGTTTGCACCGTATGTCTCAGTGACACTTTTCGGACACGCACGCCGCCTACTAACCGCCAAAACCCTGAGCTGTTCGCAGTCGGAGTGCGTGGTGCGCCTCCGCTTCCGGTGCAAAACAAGCCGCGTGGGCGCAGATTTCATAAGCATTTCCTTCGCGGCGCTTCCTCTCACCGAGGGACATATCCCTCGAGCCGCAACCTAGCTCGCCTCTGCAAGCTCTCCATTCATTTGACCGTGTTGCTGTGAATTACATCACGTTGCGCCGCCACCGTCAGCGTGTAGGCCGGACAGAGAGCGGTATGCAAATGTCATATTACTAAATTGGTCAATCATTAACTATTGTATCCGCACTTATGAGTGCGGCAGTTTCGTCATTCACGATCGCATTCAACGCGCGTCGCTTCCGTCTGCGCATAATCTCTGCTGTAAACCTCTAACTGATTGTGGATTTCCGCTCATCCATAGTAAGCCACTACACACGTCTTGCACCGCACCAGTATTCTTAGCTCCACGATAAGCCATTAAGGGTCGCTCCATAAAAAACGATCATTATAAAGGATGTAAAGACTACACCGGCGCCGAGCCTTCCCAGAACTGGGACTATTCTTATTTCGTGCTCCCGCCTTAGTCACGGCCTTTTTGTAAGGTTTTGGTCATTTTTTTCACAGGAGCGGTTCCCTTGTGAGAGTTCCAAGGAAATGGCTTATTTGGATTTCGTACAGGAGAAGGGCTTATCTTAGGGCGTCGATCGACCGGCGAGGCTGGGAACGTCGGGCGCGAATCATTACGCGACCGCCAGCCAGTGCCCCACGCGCCTGCGCCCGCGCCACATACCACCCAACCATTTACATGTCATCGTCGGTGTCGTGCTCGTGACGTCACTCGCTATTCATAGACACATTCTCCCACTCACTACAATTATATAGAAACGAGTATCTTCCAGCTGATTCTTTTTCAGTGCATGACGTAATGTAAAGACCACACGTTTTTAATAGACATATTATTAATTATTCATATAATTAGGGGAAACAGTACCTTGTCGTGATGCGTCCGACTAGTTCGAGCTTCACGGTTGAGCTCGCTAGCACGGTGAAAGAGTCAAAAAGGACAACGACTTCTACAAATACGAATGAATATACTATATAGAATATTAACGTTTAAGATTTGTTATAAATAATTTGGCAAAATTAAAAATTAGAGATATATGTGAATTCATGTATTTAAAAAATTCAATTAAATTCCAAAAAAGGTCTATCACGAAAAAAAATATTCAAAATAATTGTAACTAGTATTGGTACAACAGGATCGGTCAATTATGACATAGAGTTGCTATAATTTCCAAAAATATAAAATTCTCTTGAAAGTACATCGGTTTAATCCACGTAGTAACTAATTGTTACAAAATTAAACAAGAAGGGATGGCCTAAAAGCTTTAGCTGAATAGTGGTATTAAGCAGAGTTTCACGCTCCACTGAGTCGGCATGGTGAAAGGACCACAAAGCTGTTGCACAATATCTATTAAATTTCTTTCATATTTTCTGAAATAAGAACAAAAGAAAGTTCAATGTAGAGCGACGTTTATATAATTTTTGAAGTATCACGGTCGGGGTTTTTATATCGAAATGACATTTTATCGAAATGATGATGACAAATGACATTTAAATTTTTATTTTTATTTATATATAAAACATAAATATTTAAAAAGGCCCAAATATATTGCTGTTAATAACTTGACAAGATAATACCTAACGACCAGAATTCGTAGACATACTACGTAATTTTGAAAATGTTAATTATTGTTTTAATCATAGTGTTTATGTGCGTTCTTGTCAACATCTCGAACACTTGTGGTCAATAATACACAGTTAAATCAACTTAACCCAACACTCAGTTAATCTCAACTCAAGTTTCACTGTTAACTTGACAACTTTATTGACCAAATAACAGTATCAATATTTTCCATCGACTTCGTTTTTCTTTTAACCTATACATTCATAAAGAGAATCGCATGATGCTTATTTCACTGTACAAAGTCATGAGCACGTTATGCTTGACACAAGAATTAAATTCAACACTATGCCGACTTCGATAAGAGTGACCCAGCCAAAGTAAAGTGAGAAGCTTGATGTGCTTTTGACTGTACCATTAATTCAACATAGGTGCAATTGAAATAAAACAATGTCTATTCTTTCAATACCTATTTATCACTAATATTAACTGAGCTGTGTGCCGTACCCACGGGAAAATAATTAATTGCCTAAATAATACAACATTTTCGCACACAAAAATAAATAATGTCGTAATAAATCATAATTCTCACTGATTGTCTAATGCAACAATTATAATGTACTGTGGAAAATTTCAACTGACTAGAAATCTTTAATACTAAGACTTGGCGGTAGTGGAAAAATAGCTTTTAGTCCCTTCATATTTAGTTTTCAACTGCAATGCATTACGATTGTCATTAACTTCTTCTCCGTATTATAATGAACCTCCTATCACTCCCATTCCAAACCTCAGAGTTATGAATTTACATATCCTAATCTCAATTAGACCTTTGTTTTGGATTTTCAGTTGCGGTGACGAAACACTCCAGTGTCAACTTTCTTCCTCACTCTTTGCTAAAAGGACCCGATCTTCGTTAACTGAAATGATGTGTTTGGCGACCAATAATCTGTATTACTCGGTAAGTAGTCTTCCTTACTTTGTAAGTTGTCTATCTTGTGACATGAACGTTCAGTCATCGGAAATGAAATACAGTTTCCAAGGGATGACATTATGCAAAAAATCAACAAAATATCACAAATTCCAATACCCTTTCACGCATTTCCGGCGATGAACTGAACTTGTTTATGCACCGATTGTGTATTAAACCCGAAATGGAGCGTCAGTAAACAGTCTAATGCGAGCATTTGTGTTGTTTAGGTGCGCACGCAGGTCACGGGCCCTTATTGAGGGCAAAGGGAAGTTATAAATCTGTCGGCGCGAACAATGGCGCGATAAGGTGCACCTTGCGCCCGCGCCGATAGTGCCCCCGCCCCTCTCTCGCGCTTGCGTCGCACCTCGCTGAAAACGGCCAAAATAAACCCTTTTTCGGTGCCCCCATTCGTTCAACAAGCCCTTTTGAATACTATTTAGTACAGATCTTTTCTCCTTATTATACATATATAAATGAATGTCACCTATATGTCGTTGCTTTTAGGGTTTTTTTTTCCTTTTTACCGTGCGTTTCTTAGTAAAAAAATGATAGTCATAAAATGTTGGAATTGAGTTCAAGTAACTGAAATTGTTGAACTGTGAAGTAGCCCAATTAGAAAACAACAACAAAATACATTTGTCAAAATAGTTTTTATTCCTGTCCGAATTCAAAGCCCGTACGGCCCCCGAATTTCCATAAAAAAACTGTAAAGTGAAACCCTCCTGGAAAGGAATTGCGTGAAGTGTCATTTTAAGTGTTGCTAAGCGCGGTAGAGTGGCACAATAAATTCTCGAACACAATTATACCGTCGCGTGCACTAGAGACAAAGTTTGTTTATCATTATCAGTCATGTAATTGTACGTATGTAGGTAAGTAATTGCAGAGCATATTTAACGCAGGTCGGGTGACGACAGAACCGCGGGAAACTAGTGGTCGGCTTACAAACCTTATCGGGCGTTGACCTTCGCACCTAACTGAGCCTCACATCTCGCTCAGTGCGCGGCTAGTGACTGCACTGTGCTTGTGCTCAATTTCAGGGACCGCCCGCCTAACCACATAGCTTTGACACTGAAAACAAACTCAAACTTTTGCGCAATGAAAAGCAATTGCTCTATAACTCTCTCAGTCTAATTTTCTCAGTTTTTCTGGCTTTATCTTCACGGAAGTCGTACGCTGAAATATTTACTTAACCATTAGAACAAAAATACGACAAGTAGATATCCAAAAAAGGCGACCTTGTTTATGGCAACATGTAATACGTATGTCTTACATTAGTATGTAGAGTCGAGCTGGTGATGAGGTGATTTGCAATGTGACAGAGACCTGGACGCCAGGTAGGCGCCGGCGAGACCTTGACCCGTTCCCCGGCGCGGGCGCACACAATGGACGATTCCGCGACATCTGAGCCGACACCCGACCGACACGGCATCGCGCCCCCGCCCGCGTCCCACTCGCGCCCTTTCCTGTCCTCACTCACACTTTTGCCTTTCACTAGCTCATGAACATTTTATATGAAAACACTGAACTCATCAATAACTTTATTCAGGCCAACACTGGGCTAGTTAAGTAAACGACTAATTAAAAAACTGAACTCGTTGTTAATTACTTAGGTATATGTTAATTGTGGTTTACTTAATCAAACGTGTCGGACATTTCTATTGTGGCAACTTGTGGCGATAATCGAAATAATCGTGACAGTGTAAAGTCGGTCATGTTTGTAATTAGAGGCAGCGAATGGTGGAGAGGGGGGAGGGGGGTGTAAGTAAATTCGGGGGGCGGCGCAGGTCGTGGCCTGCGCTTGCGCTTTGAATAAAACATGCGGGCGCCGCGCCTTGGCGCCACCGCCGCGCGCCCCGCTGCCGAACAAAACAATAGCCGGAATCTAGGTCCAGACGCGACACTCGATAACTCTCGCGCTTTACACCTGACATACCTATGATCAAACCAATTGCTGACTACGTAGAGGTGGCGGGTGAAGATTACTAGTTCTCTATGTAAGAATTTTAATTTTTTTTTTTACATTTCAGTGTTTATAATAATAGTATTAAATAATATCAACCCTACAAGATCGTATCAAAATGATGTCATGGTTACACGTGTATATAGAATGGTGTACAAAAATTTGCTTGTCTACTTACATTCTTATGTGAGAAACAGTAAACAATATGTTTTTTTTTTGCAAGCGATACTGCTGTAATACGATCTGCCGTAAGGAATGTATATTCCGTGTAAATAAGTGCAGCGAGCAAGCATTGGAAATGTGACGTAGACTTTATTATATTGCTAAAGTATTGCTTTTAATCTTTATTATTTGTCCATGAAAGAATATTTATATGAATTCATTAAATTAGAGAGTATAATGATTAATGAATTATGAAAAACAGTATTATTGATTTAAACAGCGTCGAAAGCCGAAAAACTCAATGCAATAAAAAACAGTGTTTTAAAATACTATCTCTGGAGCCGGTACAAATCTCGTAGCTGTTTGCGTAGCGTGCTACGACGTGCAAAAACGGACCTTTGAACGGTCACTTTCAATATGAATTTGCAATATATGTATAGGCATAATCAATGAGGGTATTTTTATTGTCAAAAGCGTAAAATACACAACCGTCATTAGCTATACAAAAATGTAAAACGGTAGAGTTAATTATAGTATATTATTATGCGAGACGCGCGTTATGAGCACGTAGCAGCTATTAACGGGGGAAACTTATGTCGCCGGCTTAACGCGCCTCGTCGTCATCATACTAACTACCCAATAAACAGCCCCGAAATATCCGGAACTGATATCAAACAATGTTTGCATATAAATATCATTAATGACACATTAATAAATAATATATGTTATAAATTCATTAATCGTGGGTTACGGGTTTTCTATCTGGAGAGAAGAAGATTATATATTTCAGGAAGCTCGAACGTGGTTCTGATTAGTTACGAGTGAGCACGTCGATAATTGAATGAGTACGCAATACTGCCAATGCACTATATATATAAAACGTCGTTTTATTAGAATTAGTTTATACAATTATATTTTGAAATTGCCGCGATATTTAATTTATTAATTATGAACCACGAAAGCGCGCATTTATTGACCTTATCTCCGGTGAGCCTTGTGCTTTCTTTGCTTGGTTATTCGTTAATGAGGAAAGTGCGCGACAGCGGAACGAAACACGCTGGGAACCGCCGCCGCTTCACCACCGATTAAGTTATTACCTATTTTTGAAGGTCCATGCGTTACATCCACAAAATTCAGGCAACTTATACGAGAACACTATGTGAACCCAAGTATGTCTTTTAACGACAGAATTTATATCCACATCATGATTTAAGATGAGAGCGCCCTAGCTAGATGGTGCCTAAGAAAATGTCAGCGATCGCCTAACGGTATCGAGCAAACTTTCTACGATGACAGTGCTTCTTAAAAAGTTGCAGAAGTTTATGATACAACGCAGCCAAGCAAAACCTTATCTGCAATTCTATTTGAAAATGTAAAGCTTCGCTAAATGTACCTCGTGACGAACGTTTCTATCGTTCGATTCTAAAGCCGCGCACTGGCACAGCGCGTCCACCGCGTGCGCTGGTGTGAACGGGCGCATCCGCCACCCTGCGCTTACGCAGCTATAAATAGCAGCGGTCTCTTAAGGCGCAGCATTTCCGGGCTGGAAGTGTGTAGCTTCCGCTATGAGCGGTCGTTGACGCGCGTGCATTGTCGCGCATTCCCCGCCGCCAGCGTCGGCGACGTTTTTAAATAGAGGGCCGATTACTAGCGTCTGGCCGCGGCGCCGGGCACATGACCGCGCAAAAGTGCAGCGCCCGCCGCGTCACGGGCTATTTGCGACGCTGCCGCCACCGCGCCGCTAGCTGCCCACTTCGTAAGCTGCGATTTCCCATACTTACTTGCAAAACCTATGCCAAATTATCTACTATAATTGCAACGATTCTTTCAAATAACTATTCTTTTAAATTAACCAAAGGTCTCACTACTGGGTCTTCTTTAATTAGATAGTCCACCATGCTGACACGGGAGACACCAAATACAAAATATTTATTACCCTAACATTAAACATGTTACACATAAGTATCTAACCAATATACACCGGCCGGTGTTTTGTCTAGACGATTCGTCGGCATTTCATACGAAAACTGAAAGTTTATGACCTTAAATCATGAAATAAAAATATTATTTTCCGAATCAACACAAAAGCTGTCTGTACCCCTTGAAGTATTTCTCTAACATGAATCAGAAGTGCAAACTCTGGATAAGGTATTGATGACGAACATCATTGTTATTAAATTTTCAATGTCATATTTCAAAATTGTTAAAACTACCGCAATTCTTGATGGAGAAATAGTTAACATCAAGATTGTAGTGAGGTTCAGTGGAGTTATGTGATCTTGTAAAGCTTTTCTGGAGCTAGAGCTCAGTCTCATCTCGGCGGCTATGCTGAGTCGTGGCCCGTTGCTGAATAAATTCGGAGGGAGGCGCACTGGAATGCGGGAGGCGCGGGGCGCGCGCGCGGGCGGGGGCGGCGTGCGACTGGCGCGCGCGCCGCTGTCCCACGGTCGCGAGGCCCCCTCTCCGCACGCCGCACCCCGCGCCTGCCCCGGCCACTTTCTTTCGCGCCATAAAGGTCGTTTCAAATATTTCGGAATGCTGTTTGGTGACATTTCACTAGCGGACGAGGGGGGTGCGGAATGCAGTGATGTGCCGTGCCATTCTGCTGTGCGCCGCTGCCTCAGGCGGACCCTAACTCTGCTCGCAACTTAGTGCATCTTGTATGGGTCACTTCAACGCCGCAGCATTGTTGTCTTCCTTTCTAAAGTGCGAGATGCTGGTAACTAAAAGCAACAAATATGCTTTACTCAGGGAAATCCCCATGTCAATTTTGCATGACTGTTACGTCAAAGAACAGGCACCTGCGGAATTGCATTGTGAGACTTATCACTCGACCTAAGAAATTATGCCGATAGACAAGAATGGATAAGTATATCGGGGTCGTCTTCCAGTAGATCTGCTGTATCGATTCGCGGTTAAAGCTCATCTACACTTTCCACGTTCATGTGTGAACTGAGTTTCTCCAATTAATAGATTCGTTCCAATAGCAAACAGCACGCCGGAGAAAGCAACGCCGGCCGGCAAGGGTCAACGTCCGATGGAATTCACACCGACCACCGCCGTAACGTTTACGAGGAAATGCGGCGTAACGCTCTAAAATTTCAAAAACCGCGCTCATTTTCCCATTCTGGGAAGACGAGTGCGGCGCAGACGAAAGCCAGAGCGGTAGCAAGCAACGACGACGCCGGAGCGGTGGCCGGTGGTCGGTAGGCGAAGAGCTGTGTGCGCTTATCGAGTTGCGCGCCGCTATGAATGGAATGCGGTTGAGGTTGCGCAAGCGACTAGCTGCGCGGCGCGGCGCGGAATGCGCGCGGGACGCGGGGCCGGAGAGGCGGCACGCAGCGCGGGGGGCGCAGGCTGCGGAGCACGCTGCAGCCTCCGCTGCATCTCGCGGCCATTCACGCCGCGGCCGCTGTGTGGTCGGCGAAATAACTCACCGTTAGAGCCGCGGAATGTTAGCTCTATCTCTATACCTGCCGCGCTGGTGCCGGTGCCCGCGTTCCCACTTTACGACATACCATACCAGAGCGCGAGATAAACTCTGATAACGACAGAGATCTCAATTTGAAACGACTTTACATTCCATTAATTTGATGACTGTGTCATTATTGCGTTTTATTTTCAACAGACCTTGGATTATTCAATGTTTTAAACGGAATCTAGCACCAGAGATGGAAATAGACTAAGAATGCTCCGTGTGGTCGTGTCCATGCCGCTACATTGCAATCGACCAATTACCGATCTGTTACGGAATCTAGAAATATCCTATGGTTCATATTCATAACGGTTACAAAATTTTTAAGTATGTCGGTAGGTGGGTAATAAATAAATCTTAGGTTATCAAAATTTTCCTTTATAGTTGTACATCATAAAACCTTCTGGAGACATGATTTTGTAGCGTTACCTATTCAAATAAACATAGTAAAAATCAAAGCAACTATTGCTGTCATATACATATATAATATTTGTGGTGACAAACACTGTCCACTGCAGCGAATGCTGATTTCATACAACGCAATATTTTCGTTGCACAATAGCAGTGCGTGAGTTCGCTACGTGAACAATAACCGGCTCAAGTGTAAACGAATGAATTTTTAATAATTAATGCGCCCGTAATTGCTGCCGCGGTGCGCTGCATCTTACGTGAAAATCAACGGCTGTCATATCGCCACAGCTCGTTTTCTAAGCGGTCTTTATCCTACATTCAGCCGATTCTAAATGTACTACTGAAAATCTGGCGAGTGCAATGCACGCCTAATAGCTACGTGTTGTCGCCGCCGCAACACTATCAATAGTCGGCACGTCAGCCGGCCTACATAGCTGCCGCGAGGCAAAGCGCGGCCGGGATTGTATTTCGTCACCTCTCGTGCTAAATTCCGCTGTCGAACCCATTGTTCCCGTTTGTGACATCGGCAAACCTCCGGGTCTCCCGCGCCGCCAACTTTGCTTCTGACGTAACTCGCCGTCGCCGCCACTGCGTTTCTGTGAAAGCGACGCGACGTTTTGCCGCTGACCTAATGTTTATTATTCACACAATCTAATTCTGTCAAAATCTTCGAGTGTAACACTTTCATTCATTTCGTTTCTCAATTTTATTGGGTCAACGCAGCTTAGACACAATGCTAAAAACTATATAATGGATATACTCCAATTCCCTGTAAAAAGGCATCCACTAAGACGTTATAGTCCTCATTATCGCTCGAGTGTAAACACACTTCGCGATAAAATGCAGCATATTTGAGCTAATTCCCATACTTGTCAGCAAGAGTTAGTGGGTGCGAAGGGCCGCGCGGGGGATGCCACGTGTGGCCCACATAGTACGCCCGCGCTGTCCGCCGGATGTGACGTCACGCACCACCTGCAGCCATGCCACCTACCAAACTACCCACCACTGTCTAGTACGATATAAATATCTTCGAGATCTCAACTCAACACCATATGCCCAATTCCAATCAATGAAGGTTACATTAGAGTAAACCGGTATCGCCATTCATTTTAGCCCTTGAGTTATACATCCTACCTACGCTTTCCATCTTCATCCAGTTAACACAAAAATAGGTACTTAGTACCATACACATTCACGCAATTTTTGAGCCCATAAGAAAACATTCCGCCAACCAACTCACACAAATTAGAACTAGACGCCGTATACAATAAGTACCGATTTGGCGGAATAATTGTACTGGCGCCGCTACTCCCGCGCGGCCGCCCCAACAAGGCCGGAGGTGCTTATTCGCACCATTTGTGGCGGGCTCCCGCCTCGCCTAATTAGTGCTGGTGCGGACGGTGCTCGTGTGGGTGAGCTGCGCCCCCGGCCCTGACGCCTTCGTTTATTGCCATTTTAGTCAGCCTTAAGTAAACGCAATAGCTGTCTTAATTAGGTCCAATGAATTTGTTAATGCATAATCTTAGTCGCACTGCGGATATCGACACCTACTTAAAGACAAAAGGCTGTTGATTTCCCAATATTAATACAAGCCGGATGAGAAAGCAACAATTGGGAAACCATCAAAAATTTTTGATAGAGTGATTATTTTTAAAGAAGAATTCCTCTCGTCTGCGGAAATGTACCAAGTTCAATCACATTGTAAAGTGCTAGCTAAACCGAATAACGTCATATGTTACAGATGGCGAACAATTAGCGGAGGAAAGGCGCATTGCCGCGACCTGAGTCAGCAATATTCTGCATGATGTCATGTAGAGCGCTAACGGGCGCGTCCCAGCGTCACATCCCATTCCTGCATACCTCACCCAATCTAGTGATGACAAATCCACTCATACTGGCGATACAGAGACAATGTTTTAAATTCTTGTGATTCCAATATTGAGTGGTCCCATTTGGTTCAAAAGTAATAGTGTTAGTATACTTCGTGAAACTAACTTTAAATAACGTGATAGAAATCAAACGATATAAATACTAATGCACAATCTGAGTAGGCAAGATCTTGAAACCAATGTTCCCCATTACAAAAATGTGTATATTTGCACATTATTCGCCCTGTAATTTTAGTATGCTATTTCATTTACAAAGAAATAAACTCAGAAGTAACAAGAATGAAGATCAAGAACGAAGACACCAAGTGTTTCCGATAGAAGTTACAAGAAATCAAGTAAATCAAGCAAAAGGAATTACGAAACTGGTTTTCATAATGATTTGACAGATTGTTCCCTATTCTGAGATCATTGTGAAAGCTGATTTTGTTCCTATATCAACAGAAAATCGCACCATCATGCTGCGTCAGCGCTTTCTGAGGAATTCGTCAACTAAGGAATGCCACTGACGTGAATTGGTTCTGCGGAGAAAAGAATTTTTGACTAATCCGAAAAAATTAGTACATTTTTGTATTATGTTATGTTTATCTCGCTAAGGATATGCGTAATTAATATTTTTATTTTACAATAATATATTTTTCTGTTTAGGTACGGTATCAATATAATATTTAAACTTTCTAAATGTAAATTAACTTTGTTTTGTGCAATTGTGCGTAAAGGCGACATAAATAAATGTATAATATTACTTACATCTTCTGTCCAAATATATTATGTGAAATTGATAGTAATATATATATTGTTGTAGTTGTTAATCATTAGTTTATTTGTACGAATATTTATAATACTGAAAATCATTATTTATAATTATTACTAAAAATCATACTTTTCTTAGATACCCCTTTTTGCACGTAAACAAATAATCTATTAAAAGGTATTTTTAATAGATTATTTGTTTTTGTACCAAAACAACTAACAAGATCAAACTGTCAATTTTAAATAAATAAATAAACGTGACCTAAATGTATCAATCAACTTTATTACCGATACTGGGCGGTCCCAAAATGTTTAAACAAAACAAAAAAATGGCTAGTAATTATACTATAACGATTAATGAAACTCTAATGTAAACCCCAAAAACTATTATTAAATTCGGTTTTCGTCACACATTTATAGAAAAAAAAAAACAAATTCAGTATCATTACCGCCAGAGACAAAACATCAAATAGTACTCCATTATGGAATCGTGAATATCTTCTTGCGACTGATCATACCAAATTATTTGATTATGCGTGAAGTAGCAAATAATAAAAAATAATTATCAAAAGGTTCTGTTTTACAACCTCATCTATGCTAGGTTCTGGTGTAGTAGACAAAAAAAGTTTTTCGTGACAAATTTTATACCATTCTTTGTTAAGAACCTTTGCGAAATAGTATTGTTTGCTGACGACACATCCTTGATTTTTAAAATAGACAGACATCACGTTAACTATGACAATATTAACGATGCCCTCTCAAAGGTAGTTATTGGTTTAATGCTAACAATTTATTGCTCAATGCCAAGAAGACAAAGTGTGTTAAATTTGGACTACCTAATGTAAAATCAACTAGTCCAATCATAGAAATAAATGGAGAGTTAGACCTTGTTAATAAAGATGTCTTTTTGGGAGTGATCTTTGATAGTAAACTTCAATGGTTTCCACTATATCTACCTTAGCCAGTATATTGAGCTCTGCTGCATACGCAGACCGTAGAATACGTGAGCTTACCGATGTTGCTACTGCTAGACTAGTTTACTTTAGTTACTTCCATAGTAACTAAAAATGTCCTACGGGATTCTCATGTGGGGTAAAGTGGCAGATATATAAACCATATTTGTGTTGCAAAAACGAGCGATTCGTTGTACGTTTAGGTTCTTGGGTTTCTCTCAGAGAAAAGTTTAAAGAGACTGGTATTGTGTGGCATTACAGCACATTTACTCAAATATTTTGTATATCCGTAAAAATATTCATAACTTTATTAAGAAAGATGATATCCATAATATTAACCTTAGAACTAAGTCCAAACTCATGGTACCACGATTTCGTTTAAGCGATTCTTTTATGGGGAACGTATTCGTTTTCACAATAAGATTTAGAGCATTTATTAAGATTATCATTTCCTAAGTTTAAAACTCACGTTAACAGTATTTTAATTGAAAAGTCATATTACAAAATTGAAGAGTATGTTTTAGATAAAGATGTATAGAAAGACAACACGAGTTTAGATTCCACACAATTACGATTCAAAGTGTATTCCATGGCATTTAAGTTTATTTGAAAAAAGCAATCCCTAGAGTTTCTTGCTCGTTATTCTCAGGGAGGTCAGCCTAGCGAACGAGCAGTAGCTTAAAAAATTACGTTTTCAAGTGTAAAAATTTTGCCTATGGAATATATGATTATTTGACTTTGACTTTGACCGTACTATGCCATACAAAACAATAAATCGGTAATATAGTGACTCTTCTTGAAGATGGCATTACAAAATGTTGTGTCGGAACCGTTTGTATCAGTCGTTCTCCGATTCAGAGGACTTGGACGCGATCTCAAGAGAACGGCTTATTCAAAAGGAGACCGGGATCGACAAGAAAACGGTGTACTGGACTACAGACGACCGATATATTGTGAACCAAGCTTCACGAAATCGGAAGTCTACCTGCACAAACATCAAAAACAATCTCGAAAAAGATATTTAATTTTTTTAATAGCAAGGTTGAGATTGGCCCAAAATTAAGCGACGTGCAGCCCTGTAGACTAACTAGGGTAGGCATTGATTTTGTTATGATATCAAGTGCGCCAGGTGGTAAACGATGCCTGTAGCAATTGCAGTGCCACTCAGAGCCTTGAATCGCAAAAATCTAAGGGGTACTGCCACCCTGAGTCATATGCTGACAAGTGCCATGTGCCTGTAATTTCACCAGCACCCGTATCCTTCCAACCCGGAACGCAATAAGCAGTAAGATCTGTTGCGAAGGCACCAGATCTTTTGTAACTAAACGCTCGTAACTGGCACATTACGTAGTCCGGGGGTTCTATTTTGAACCAATCAACCAACACCTAAGAGTTCTCGAGTAGAGACCATGTCTCGGCAAACATAACAAAGGACGGCCCGCTGCAAGATGGACCGACGATCTGAAGAAGGTCGCGGGTATTGGTTGGATGCGGAAAACGGATGATCGGGCACTATGGGGTACGCTAGGGGAGGCTTAGTAGCAGTGGACTGCAATAAGCTGATTGATTGAACCAACACCACATACATGTTATCTCATCCATACCACATATTTAACGAAATCCTTCTACGAACTACCAAAGGTCCGAAAGGAACATTACTGTTTAACGGCATAAACAGGTAAAGTGACAGTACTTCCTTGGAGGAACTCTTTCATAAGAAGCTCTACTGCTACTAAAAGCTGATTTGATTTTCTGATGAAGCCCGAATCTCTTTGCTTGGAGAAGACCGACATCGTAGCGGATGCTCATGCGGTACGGATATTTTAAATTTATACAGAGTATCCGCCGATGCGGATGATGATATTCGCAACCACCCTGATACAGACGTACACTTCGAAGAGGTTACACCGTACAGTGAAGGATCCGTTGTGTTTTGGACGGGCGTAACTTTCAAAGATATACGTAATTAGCTTTCATTGAAAGTGGCTCTCACAGTGCACAAATTTCTCATGCACAGCCAGCACTAGCCGTCACCGGTGTAGCTCCTGTCCTCGTAAACAATAGTGCTCGAGCACATCGAGTAGATAAAGAATTTATGCCAGAGGTCGAGTTTCGACGTTTAGATTGGCCAGCACTAAGTGCTGACCTCAATCCCATAGAGCACATGGAACATTCTAAAACGATGTATTAGAGCTGTACATCCAGCCCCACAGAATATTCAAAAGCTTAAAACTGTTATTACGCCCGTATACGCTATTACAGCGTATTTATCCAAGAAATCTACAAACCTCATTCAAAACCTGCCACGAAGAATTGCAGAAGTCATCTCGGCAAAAGGTCTCACTCGATAGCTACTAATTTTCTTTCATCTTTTGTAACTATTGCTGAATAAACGATAATTGTCAATTAAAGGTCACTATTTGTTGGAACTTTAAGTACAAAATAGGAAAAAATTCAAATTAAAAAAGCCAAGTTTTTAATATTAATAAAAAAATGTTACATCAATGTGTTGCATTAATTGTCATCTCGAAAGACTCGTATATGCCCATTAAAAATTTTACTAAATAGATTTGTAATGTTTGTTATGGAACACACTGAGCACCGTGGTAAAACATGAGTAGGACTATATGTCCAACGTGTTTTACTAAGGTTATAGATCTGGCGCCACAAAGAGCTAATTATTACGCCGTCGACCTAGGAGAGCCTGAAAGAACAGATTGATAACCCTACAGCTGATTATAAGACAACACCAAACAATGCATCTTTTTGATCTTCGGTTAAGAAGAACCTCTAGCCTTCTAAGTTCACACACGAGAGTTCGATACTCTTAATAAAAATAAATAACACTGACATATCAAAGAATTGCAATAAAAGACTCAGAGTACGGGCGTAAGTTTCCAGGGCTTCAGGCACGCAACGCCGATTACCTTGACAGTGTACAGTCGTGCAATGGTGGATTGTTAATTGCTTATTACTTGGAAAATCAACCTGTTTAAAGGTTTGCAACCAACTACACCACTTTGTACAGTGATAATACAGTTACGAAACAAAACTTGTACCTACACAGCGCAGGCCCGGGTGCAATCAATACCCTTGCGCCCTCTAGTAGGTTATCATGAGATCAAAATGGAATATTTTCTCCAGTGATCAGAAATTCGGGTGCAAATGGTGGATACAATTCTAAATGACATTGGGAAGTAATAGAAACGCAGGCTCTTTGAAGGTGTCGCGAGCGGCGCTCTGTGTCTCCTAAGTCTCTAAGCCCGTGTGTGCTGCACAGCTTGCACCATAGGTAAATCCTACTTTACACACAATTTTAAATTAATATGATGTACATAAATCATTATCAAATGTTACAAATGTGTGTTCGATTTAATAAATAAAAGTAAGCTTTAATAGAATATATAGCGAATAAAAAAGTTAGTTTACGTTGCTTGTTGGTAGAACGATTGGGAACTCGAGTGTATTTGAGAAGAGCGTGTGGCACACGGTACGCAACAAAGTTTTAAGGTAACTCCTTAAATTTTCCTTACCTTCGATAACTGGGTATCGACACGATAAATCGCATTACGCGAAATGCGTAACATCTTTTTCGCTTTGTCGTTATTGCACGCGAGTTTCGCTTTGAACGCACTACCATTTCTTTTATTTCTTTATAATATCAAGTGACGGGATGAACGAGTCGTACGCCTGATGGTAAGCTACACTCCTGTCCATAGCAGTTGCAGTGCCACTCAGAGCTTTAAATCGCAAAGATCTGAGAGGTTCCGCCACTGCGCCCGTCACCCTGAGATATTATTTGACAAGTCCCATGTGCCTGTAATTTCACCAGTACCCTTAC